GACCCACTGAAGCATCTCAGCAGCTCTAGGAGTGCTGGCAGCAGGAGGGATACATCATCTTTTGGGGGAGAAACATTTTTCCACAGGAATCTACAGGGAGTTTCAGAGACCAAACAGAGCTGACCTGCACCTGGATGTGGTGCTAAGTGGATTTTAGCAATGCTTCACCTCACAGACACTGCAAAAAAGCAGGCAAGAACAGATCCAGTATGTGCCTTTCTTCCTGTAGAGTCACCACTGCTGCCTCCAGGATTCTTCCAGCCTCAGATACGGTATTTTTCTAATCATTAAAGTGAAGATTTTCATATTACCTAAGAATGCATTGTTCTGCAATGAGTCAGAAAATGCTGGTTTAAAAATATATTGTACTCAGTTCATTGCTTCATGTCATCTTTTTCTCTATCTTAGCAGATAGAAAAGCCCTGAGACCAACTTTGTATTTTTACCCACGAGCTGACAGGCTGTTTCCTACCCTCAGCTGGTGGTGAAACAACAACTCATCTTGTCATGCTTTTAAGGCCTTAACAGCTTTGGTCAGGTTGCTGTAAAATCCAGATATGCTAGATGGAAAAAAGGAATCCACCACTGTCTGGGGAAGATAGCCACCAAGATCCGTCTGGAAGAAAGTGAGGAGCTCAGTCCTGTTTGGCTCCCTGCAAAGACAATGAAAGTCATTTTATAGACAGTGGTTTAAGAGCATCAAGAACTTTTCAGTGACTCTTACTTGTATTACAACAGATACTTCCAAAAGCTTTTCTTTTTTTAAACAAAACAGACAAATTTCAGTGAATTTCAGTAGCTACAAAATTTAAATTTATCCAGGCCCTAATTAGCTACATGACTGTTTATAAATTATGGCAAATCAACCAGATACTTATTTACCAAAAATTAAGACCATACTTGTATGTTTTGCTGAATTTCTAAATTTCAAGACGTCAGGGAGAATTGCACCATGATAACAGTTTCTGCAACTGTAAATACTTCCCTCTAGGAAATGAAGATAAACTAATTCATTGCACAAAAATGAGAACAGGAAGGGCACTCAGTCATAATGATTACTGGGAAGGCAGAAACATACCATTGCCAAGAAGTTACAGGTCACATGTGGCCACATAAACACACAAGACAGTGGATAAGGAGGGCTTTAGAGTTTATACCATTCAAGCAGGATGTTTCTTACCCTGGAACAGGTATGCAGAAACAGCCACAAGGATAATTAAAACCTCTCACAAAATTTGGCTGAGGAGGACACAGCGGGTGTTCCACATTGGTGGCTGAAAGAAAAAGCATTGAAGGAAAATGTCATTCTTCCAGCAGACAGGAAAGAGTCCTTGGCAGGCAAAACTCCAGATGGGAAGCAAAGTCACTGTTCAAAATGTATTTAAAAAGAACTGCAGTACAACCTCTTCAGTGTGGGACTGACAAGGGGTCAGAAAAGACCATTAAAAGGAACCACTCTGGCTTTAGAATGGTGAAATCAAAGAAGTGCTGCAAATAGAAGCAATTGTTACTGAGCTCTGAAGGAGGAAACACTGACATTTGACACAGTTTCATCAAGGCCATGTTGTGAGAGGGTACTGCTTTTCTTGAGAGGTCATTTGGGCTGCTTCCAACAAATCCACATCACACAGATACATCACGTGGCTGCTGAAAAGCTGCACTCCAGCAAGTATATAAATTCCTGACAAGGCTTTTCTGAACAGGATAGGAAAATGGGACACCTGAATAGTGGGGCAATAAAAGCTTAGACTTGTAAAAGTAAACAACAGAAAGAAAGTGAAAAACCAAATAAACATCCTTCTATACAGTAGCAGCCCCTTAAAAATCAGCACTATTTTTTTTTATAAAACCAATAATTTTCACATACAGGAGTGATACATTTATTCAATGGCTTCATTGAACCCTGTGCAGGAAATGTTAAAACAGGATTTAGCCTAAATGGGACTCCTTTCAGACTCTTAAAACAACAAAAAAACACATTCAAAATACCCCAGAATTTAACACTAAATTAAATACTTATTCAAGCTCAAAAGCATGGCAAGGGAAAAAACCATAGGCCAGTCTTATCAATATCTGAGTCTTAAGATGATTTATATACTCTGGAAACAACAATGTAGAGAGATTACTATTATCTCTTCTGATTAAGATCAGGTCAACAACTACTGACCAGCTTGTTACTTAATTTTAATTTGATGTTTATTTCTGTAGCTTTTATAGTTGTCTCCAGTAGCTGCTGGTTATCTCCAAATGTAACATGAAGCTGTTCAGAACACAAGTGCCTCACCAGCAGACAGCATCGTCCCATCTTCGTATTGCTTCATCACTACTACATCCACAAACTCCCTTGGTGAAATAATCCTCATGCAAGCTGAAGGGGTTGTGGTTCTGCATATAGACACAGTCTGGAAATCACAGAACAGAGTTATGTCAGTTATGTTTCCAAAAGTAAAGAAAAATTTCTGTACTTTCTGGCAATCCTTTAGTTATACTTTCTAAACTCCATCAAGGTGTTCTACATCCTTTGTTGATGTAAAATATGTAAAATACCACAGTTAAAAGGCACCAGTATGATCAATCAAGTACAGGAAAAAACCAGAGTGACAAGGTGTTGCTTCCATGTTCAGAGGAAACAGATACCACAAGAGATGCTGAAATGCAATCTGGCACATCTGTGCTCCCAGGACAGTTAAAACCCTTGTCCACCCCAGGACACTGGCAAAGATAATTTCTTTGTGTGGTATACACAAGATACAACTTGATAACCCAGTTTGTTACACTGCACAAACATTATCCCTACCATCTGCCTCCCTGATTGGCTCCCAAAACAGAAGTTTCTACCACATTGGTAGGTCCTGGCAAGTCTGTGAATTTCAAGTGGCAGGCTGCAGCATTCCTGAAGTTGTCTATAATGAGTACTAAATGCCTACAGATTTCCTCAAGAAAAATAAGCTTCCTGGAACTTCCACAAACATTTCTGAGACTAGCTGTGTTTGCACCTGGCTGCCCCCAAACACATATGACACCTCAGATTGGGGATCTAAATCCAATGCCTTTTTAATTTTCCCACATGCTTTAAAAAAGGAATTCAGACTGTATAAGCATGGCAGCAGAAGCTGCTGCTCATACACAGCCCTGTTCATCTGTCTGCTCAAATTGCAGCATCTCCATTTTAATGACAGATGCAAAGCACTGGGTGCTGAAGCCAGCTGAAGGCAGGGTGTGATGGGCAGAGCGTCACTGCTGCCATGGTGAAAGATGGGGCCTGAATTGATGCCTGATGACGTGAATGCCTCACTGCTTAGCTAAGTCTGGGTACTCTCTAAACCTATTCTTAGATCACACCGAGCTTGCTAAAAACAATCATTCTTAACTTGATTAGCAGCATTAACAACAATGTAGTGCAGGAATCTCTAATGTTATATATTTAACGTTATACATGCATATATATATATATGTATGTATGCATATATATGTATGTATATGTTATACATTTGCATATTTTTAGCCAAGAATGATTTTCCTTTCCTTCCAGAAAAATAAACTATTGTCTATACATATATATATATGTATGTTAATGAAACGATAAAGTGCATGCAAAAGGACAAAGCAAAAAAGAAACAAAACCAAAGGAAAAAAGGTTTCTTACTTAACCCAGCATCGTTCAGCTGATCCAGCCAGAAACACACTACAGCTTAAGACTTGGTAAGACTCCCTGCACATAACATCGGCTGTTTCATAAGGCCCAAACGCTGCATTAATCTCCCCAGAACAGTTTTTAAGGAACTTACATCACTGATGGCTTCGATGACCTCGAAGTCCTTCACGTTTTGGTCCCACTTGGTCCTGAGCCCGCCGGCCACCGGCTTTATGCACTCCCAGACGCTCTGCGGGCTGGCGGGCAGGACGCCCTCTCCCTTGTACCTGCGGGGAACGAAACGAAACCGAACCGCGCTGCTCTACCCTGCCCGGCCCCGGCAGCACCGCGGGCAGGATTCCGCTCCCCAGGAACGAGCATTACTCACAGATTGCCAGCGAACTCCGCCGAGGGTCTCCAGGACACCGCCACCTCACCCTGCGGGACGGGAAGCGTTCAGTCCCCGGGCCGGCTCCCGCCGCAGCCCCCCGACCCACCGTGCTGCGGCAGCCCCTGACCCACCGCGCTGCGGCAGCCCCACCAGACCCCGACCCACCGTGCTGCGGCAGCCCCGCCAGCCGTCGGGATCCCGTCGGTAGAGCCGCAGCTGCTCGGCCGCCGCCTCAGCGCGCCCCGCGCAGTCCATGGCGGGCGGGCGGGGCCGCTGCGGCGCCGCTTTGAGCGCCCGCGCCGCACCGCCCCTGGGCCGATGGCGGCGCCGCCCCTCACCTGAGGGTGACGCCGGCCCGGCCCGGCCGTGCCTCACGGGACTGCAGGCGCGGGGCTGGGGAGCGGCAGAGCCCGAGCAGCGGGGCAGGCACGGCGGGGATGTGGTAACGTGTGTGGGATCGGAGGCGGAGCGGGGCTGCCTCAGAGATCGGGCCGCCCCGCGCTCGTCACTGGTGTAGTCCCAGTCCCAGTGACGCGGAGAGAAACAAGCGAGAAACCAACCAAGGAATCTTCAGTATCTAAAGGAAGTGGGAAATGGCAGTGGTGAAAAACGGGATACAATTTGGAAACTACGAGTAATGAAGTGCGTCTCAGTGGCATCGAAAGTTTGCCACTGGGAAGGTTACCAGGCTGGTCGGAGGTTCACCAGAAAATTAACAGAGGATCTAGGATTTAATCTAGAACTCTGACTCACCTTGACAAATAACTCCCCTGCCCATGTGATACACTCTAAAGAAACTCACTATTCTCTCTATATAACATTTTTCCTGTTTTTTTTGGGCCACAGCATATTCAAACAAGGCATAGCAAGATCTACTCTAAGTAGCAACTCGGATTGCAGGAAACTGATTCCCTGCTGAATTTATTCAGGAAGCATCTTCAGCTCTGGCTGCATCAGATAAAAAGGAGCCTCATCTGATGTATTTCTGTATTGTTTTAATTGAAGTGCCCCAAGTACATTGCTTTTGATTTTCCAGTAGGCAGAGATTTTGGGTTTTGACGGCGTAACAGAGGGAATAAATTGGAATAACCTTCTTTTCTTAGATTTGCGACATATCAGTTGTGATATTAAAGCAAGGTACAATAAAGAGTAAAACACAAGACTTTTTCCAACTTGAGTGGCTGCATACACGATTTTTACAAGAACTACATTGCAGTTACTCTGACAGACTTCCAACAGCAAATAAAGCACAACTGCACATACACCGGCTCAAAACACAACGAGGCAGGGGCACTTTCTCAGACATTTGAGCACACCAGTTCACTAGGCTCAGACCTACTTAGATCAACACTGTTTTTAGATTTCTTTTTGGCGAGTTTTGCCCCAGTTTTTGGATACTTGTCCTTGGTATGAATGACCTGGATGTACTGGTCATTGCTGCTGTTCTGCGGATCACTGCTGGATTCAATGGAAATGGAATCAGACTCTGTTAGAGATTGCTCCAGCTTTTGCTTTGATTTTGGTTTCACACGTGGCTCAGAATAATTCAGGTGTACTTTCTTGTACGCATATGGAGGCCTGTCCAGGTCCAGCTCAAAACCATCATCCCAGGATTTGTAATGCACTCTGGCTAGATCTTTGCTCATTAGAATGTGGCCATCAGCACGATCTCCAATGTAAAACCGTGATGCTGGCCGAAGGTCAGACAGCGAGCGAGGGCGATGGGATCTGTTCATGAATTCTTTCTCAAGTTCTTCTTCATCCTCCTCATCTTCACTGGGATGAGGGGAATACATCTGGTGTGGTGTCCGAACCACGTATCTCCTGACATGGCGTGGATACAACTCAATAATGTCTCCTGCTTCCTCCTTTCTGAAATGCCTTTGGAGTCGGGAGGTAGAACGCAGCGATTTTTTGCGGGACTCGTTTTCATTAACCAGAAAATACCTGGTAGCATACGGTCTGCATCCCAGAAATACAGGAGCCCCTGCCCCAAGGACATCCGAATTTACCTGCCGAATGGCTTTTCTGAAGAGAGGGTCAGAATGGACATCTTCAGTGTGCTTTTTGAAAGTCACTGGTGTGTAGGGCTTTGTTTTGGACAGCTCACTTGCACTCCTATGAACAACACTTGGGTATCTTTAGGAAGGAAGAAAAAGAAAGGAAATATTGATATACACACTCATCAATCAACCAATGGAATTGAAACATATAAAAGAATTCACTGCTCTGGAAGTCAAAGACTAGGTTGAAAAAGTGAAAAAAATTATCATATCTCCCCTGCTGCAAATTTTAATAACAATTTTGAGAAACATATCCTAGAAATTAGGAGATATATTTGTTGTTCTCTAGGAGAGGATTCACATTTGTCCTCTCAAGTTATATTCCCTTTCTGTTTTCTTATTGTTCTGAGAATTGTTCTTTATCCACTTGGAAAAAAAACCCCAGTAGGTAGTTTAAAGCATCCGTCTATTGATATGCCAGGCTGGTTTTTTTATAACTAAAGCTGCATAGACATTCTGCAGAGAGTTCCTTCACTCTGTATTTGTTTTCTTCGTGGAGATGGTATCCTGCACAAAGTATTTTAGTTATGTGCCTGAGGGCAAGTCTAGTGTTTACCTTTGCTTGAGCTGTGTGTAAACTCCATCAGCTACATCATTTCAAAGGTTTATAATCCCATCTCTGTTAAGGGAGAATTAATGATGTGGTGTCACAATGATATCAATAGTACCTGTGAATGTATCTGCTTTTGAAAAATTCCTCTGCTGTCTTACAGCTCCAGACAGTCTGAATGCACAGCTGTTTTGAAAATAAACAAGTATGGCATGGAGCTGCTGGAATAAATACCATTTCAAAACCAAAGCAGTCTTACCTGTTTGTGATATGATCATTTCTTGGTTTCTGTACACTTGACACAGAGGGAGCTGGTGTTAAAGAGGTCGAAGTTGTGGGAGTTGCATTGGCAGGTCTCACAACATCAGTTGCTGGCACAGCTTGGGGCACAGACTGGGAAATGGTTTGAATTCTGGTGCCTTTGCTCACAGGAGATTCGAAGTTCAAGACACTGCCGTTCTTTCGGGGTGTTGAGGACCGAGCAGAAGACTCCTGGCTGATGATATCGGTTTCTTGCTCTGGTCTTTTGTCATTAGCATCCAGATTTTGGATTCTGGCTAGAAAACAGATATTATTAGAGGAAATTTTCATGTCTCTACATTTAAAAACTGTTGTGCAAATTCAGTGGCTTGAATTCCCCCTTCAGTCAGGGATCCAAGGCCAATAGAACCTCCTGTGTTCAGAAAAGAGAAACTGTTGTCATACCGGGAGACTTGGTGATCAAGGGGTAGCTCTTCATACATAGCAAATAGAGTATTTGGGACACAGAAAACACTGAATGTTGCACTGTAGGATTGCAAAACGGGCAACAAGCCAATTTTTCATCTGCCTACCAGACTCTGAATTGCATGCAAAGTCTGAGATGATTTGAATTATCAAAGATGCGTCCCAGGTTTTTCCCTGTTGGTGATAAAACCAGGAAAATACCCAGTCCAAAAATTCCAGGTGAATTCAGGTTTAAACTATGCACAATGCCTTTCAGTGTTGCCAAGATTGGGTCAAACTGAGCTCAGAAACCATCTAAAAGGAGGATTCTACAGGAAATACAGTTTTTAAAATGTAATTGTACTTCCCTATATGTATGAGAAATCAAAATGAGTTTACATCCAAAATACTTTATTAATAGTGACATTTCTAAAGGTCACCAACTTACCTACTGCCAACTGAACCACCTTTTTCTTATCTTCAGTTCTTTCCTAAAATACATTCAGAAGAATGAGAATTTGTAAATTATTATGGATTAGAGAATAAATCCCCAGCTCTGTAAGGATTAAAAATACAGGATTTGTTTTATTTTGTGAAAGACTAGAAGTGACTTTAGAGATTTAATTAGGCTCATACTTTACTGAAGACCCCTCAAATTACATGTGAAAGTGCTTTTCACCATACTTACTGTTTGTATCTTCATTCTCAGTTGATTGTTGGTGAATTTTAATGATCTTGCAATACTTTGTAGGTAGTAGATTAGCATGCTAGAAGAGAAAGGGGTGATTATGAGTCATTTCAGACATTCTTGACAGTTTCTTTTTAAGGGTTTTTAGGTCAAAATGATTTACAAATTCAGCTGCTGCTCTGTAACATTTTCTTATATTGTAATAATGGATTACAGCCTTCTTTCAAGCAAATATGGATGAAAGAAATGACACTGAAAACAGCTCTAACAGCAGTTCTAATTTCACCTGTAGTTTTTGCAGGTACTTTCATTGTGTATGTAACCTGGGATGCATTTCCAACTGGTTTTGTTTTGGTTTTTTTACTTCTAGACAAATAATTTTGACAGATATTGTTTTGTTTTTTTCCAGTCCAAGGTTACAGAACAGGGACACCATAGTTACAGCTGAGCTTGCACAACCATACCAATGCAATTTTGTTGGCTGGCTGAAAAAACACCTTGTTTGCCCTGGCACAGATGAGAAGAGATCCTGGCAGATTATGGCCTGACAAAATGGATTGCGCTGGCTTTCAGAAAAAGTCTTATAGGCTACATCTCATACCAGAAACAATTACATATGTGCTTAGCTGTCAGTTTGAAGCAGTCAAAAGTAATACTTAAATTTGTAAATATTACATGACTGGGACCTTAGAGGGAAAAGTTACAAATAAGAAGTGTTGCTTTGGTCTTTCTGTTTTGAAAAGCTGCCAGTGGGACAAGCTCTGCCTTTGCAGTTTGCACAAGAAGAAAATGGTACAAAGATACAAGCAAAACAAAATAGAACTTTTCAGAGAAGCAAAGTGAATTTCAAACAGCTCAAAATCAATATTATTTCCCAACTGTGAAGAATTATTTATAACCCAAATAAGAAAAGACTTCCACTGGAGAGTCTGCAGCAAGTTATATTAAATTAACACTTAAGAGCAGACCTTCATAATTGATTTATTTTGTCATAAATCTGGATGACTGAGTAGCTTCTTTAAATGACAGACTGAGTCCTGCTCAGTGTCAGAAACTGAACTGATGACCATGAAGAAATGGAAAATTTATTTCTGAGGAGTTCTTAAGAGGGAAGAGGTTCTTAAACTTCCTGGAACCATCAGCACTGCAAGCCTTGACACAATGCAGTGCTTTAACGAAGTATCCCAGAAGGAGAAATTCCTTTTGAAAGTCTTTTTAACATAAATCCATTCCTGTCCGGTCCATATACCGCACATTCAGCGAGGTGTTGGAATTGTTTCAGTTGTGCTTACTGAAACTACAACAGTGCAATGTTTGTTCCTCAGTATCTACATTTAACTCACCAGAGATAAGGCCAGTATTAATACAATCATTTAACCTGCCTACAAAAACCAAAGTACTTACAATAACAGCAGTAGTGCAGGCAGGACAACCACAGGGCTGCTGATGTAAGTAATCACTGTGTTGAACCATGTGGGAAAATCATTTTGAATTGTTTCAGAAACAATATCATATATTTTTTCTTGGCCACTATAAGAGATGTGGGAGGAAAAAAAATTAAGTTGTAAGGAATCCTGAGGATATTTTTAAAGCAATGTTGCACTAAATAATAAACAAACATGGAGGGTGCTTGAATGCAGACACAATACAGTGATGTTTGGGAGATTTCTCAGTAGCACATTACATTGTATAAATATAAACTAATTAAATTATGTATATAAAGCAAATCAACTCAGAACTTTGACCTATTCACCTTATTAAACCATAAACAATAAAATATTGGTAGCAGAAAAGCATTGTCCTCTCAACTTGTTTTGAATTTACATCTGTAATTTGTGTATTATGAAACATAATAAGTTTATTGTAAGAAGGGGAAATAAAATCTTTTCAATTTTCATTGTTCATCATACCTTACCTGAAGGGCCCACAGCTTAAGGATGGCTTATATCGGGCAATAGCAAAAATTGTTGGTAACATGCACAAGAACAGCATAAACAGCAACATGGCCAAGTAGAAATTATTGGATCTGCAAGAAGGTGTAACAAGTTTCAGATTCTACTCGTCAGAGAGAAAACCAGAGACAACATAAAAGGTGCAAGTCTGAATCTACCTATCCAGTTCAAGATCATTATCTCTGAAAGATTAAAATCTTCTGCTATAATTAGAAACTCTGAACAGAGATGGTTTCAACAGACTCCTAATGATCAAAATTCTATTTGCACTGTTTTCCAGATACCACTGCTGCAGCCAGAGAACTGGTTACTGCACCCTTTGACAAAAGCTGCCCTTACTGCCTAATTGTGTTGAGGGAGAAAAAATACAGCAGCAGCAGAAGTCAATTAATCTTAAAAAAAGTTAGAAATGACTGATTATTAAGAATTAAAGATGCTCAAAATTATTTGCATTTTGAATAAACCATTAAGATATTCATCATGATAGAAGAAAAATTAGGAAGTCTGTTGTGCAACGTGCAATGGACAAAAGCAGATATTGCATAGCTTTTAAAGAGAGAAACATCAAGAAATAAGACTTGCAACAGCTAACACATATGGGTTATTATGCTCTGTCAGATTTGTATGGAAATAAAGCATTTATGTTAGGCCATAATAGCTACCTAGGAGCGTTCCCTGACATATTTTTTAATTCTTGCACATCTTCAACTACCTTGCTTCACAAACCCTCCATTTTCTCAGTAACTATGTCTTTTTTCCTCAGACCTTTGCTATCAGAGTTAGTGTGAAATTTGATTGTCAGCTTTTAGAGCTAAAACTTGCTGTAATTTTCTTCATATTGATGGAAGATATTTCTGCTGCATTTTATTTTTTTCCTTCTATTTCATTCTCATTTTGACTCACCGAGATGCTCTGAAAACCTGCTGATGGGGTACATTGCATGTCAGCACAGCCCAGCTCCTCAGGTACATGAGTCCAATCAACTTGAGCACATTGAATGCTGGTAAGCAAGGTGAAAAGAAAGCTCCCATCCTGGAAAAATCATATCATATCATATATCATATCGTATTGCCAGAGGCCATTTTGATAGCAATAAAATAAACTAAAAAAAAAACCCCAAACCTCACACCAGGTAAACAGATTAATAGCTCACTATTAACCTATGATCTCTTAATATAAAAGACTACCCTGTCAATATCCTAATTAAATAGGTTTTATTTAAATAATCAAATTGATTTAACAATCAGCCAACAAAGGACAAGAAAAAACACATAAGGACTTCATACCAGATCATTCCTTGGTTGTAGACCAAATGCAATACGTTCTCTGCAATTTTGAATTCTCCATATTCTGGCTACAAGAAACACAGTGTAAGATGAATACCTTTATCTTAATCTCATTTTCAGGCCATTTATTAGGTTCATTTGACTGAATCAGTTTGCAGACAGTTCATGGCCTGAAACATCCAGATCAAAAAACAACTGCTGGCAGGCAGTGGGAACACAGCAAAACCTTCTCTGCACTGGGGATTAAACGAATTTATTCCTCTTTAGTTTACTTTGCATCTTTAAGGACAAACAGTCCACGGCCTTTCACGCCAACAGCTTCTTGCAAACCAAGTATTACCCACTGTAATTTTCTTAGAGGGCTGTGTGGTGTTGGTTACTGTTTTTTGGACCACTATATACATTAAGTAAAGATGTTAGAGCTGCAGAAAAGAGGATGTGGGCAACAACTACGTGCCCTCTGTGTCACCTCAGACTGTGGGAACTGTGCTATGATATTTTGTGAAAACCAAACATTTTTGCTTCAGAGCCATGTGAGTAGGCTTGAGAAAAACATTCATCTCAACCTTTATCCTATACCCTCCAATTTAAACTCAGTGTGAGCTGTGCCTTTGTAGATGTGTGCTACCGAGAAATTATTCATCTGTGGAAAGACTTTAAGGACATTTAGTACTTAGGGAAGGAGCCTACCAGTCTTCCACATCTTAGCATGATAAAATAAGGACTGTACTTACAAACTTGCTTTCTAGATCCCAGCACCAGCAATCACTCAGATATCGGACACACAGCCCACGGAAAAAATCAATTAGCAGGATGCTTGCCACTGTGAAAATCATGTCGATAATTGAAAGCTTGAGCATCTCCTGAAATGCACATTGTTCACACATACTGAGTCATTCTGAAAGCAAATGGACTGCATATGGCTCTTTTGCATTTGTAATTCTATTTTTGGCTCAAGCTCAATATTCTGATAAAATATGAATTGAATATATGAATAATTTCCTTTTAAAATTTTCCTGTTTGACTTTTCCCTTACTTGTCTTTTTTCTCTTAAAGAGAATAAATATAATCAAGCTTCTAGGGTGCCTTTTATTTTTTGCAGGTGTAAAATTCTGGTCGTGATGGTCAAACTTTCTTTTTAATGACTTTCTTTTTAATGTTCTAAAAATGCATCTAGCTAAACTGAAATGGTTTGTTTTTCGTATTGCACCCATTCTTTTATTAAGCTATCTCTTGTAATACGTATTTACAAAGTGCTTCACCATGAGAAATCTTATTATTCAGACAAACAACGCAATGGGGTAGGATCATCAAACCATAAAAAATAGTTTTTTCATGCTTAAAAAAGAATGTGGTTATCCTATATTTAATTGAGCTTTAAAAATATACAATTAAAATAGGAAAAAATCAGTTCTATAAATCTCTAAGCCATTCTGGGGAAAAAAGCAAACATTCAAACCCCTATTTTCTATGAAATTGTGCAGAAAGGATATACAAGAACAGAAATCAGGCTAATAAACCTCAGAGGGGTCTTTTCCTCCACATGTTCAAACAAGACCTTTAATATTCCTCATTCTGGAACAAGAAGCTCAGAAAATCAGAAGCACACTAACATGGTTATTAATCCAATGGCCTGGACATGACTGTGACACTGTCAGAGACAACAGTGACATCTTGTGCATTTTTGTGGTTAAAATTTCTCTCTGAATGTATTAATGCCCCTGGAAGTCACAAGCAATGTACTCTTCACATGTAGAGAAGCAAGAGGTGTCATATTAAATCTGCAGATTTTCTGCACCCCAAATGTGGGAACATGGCGCTGCCATCCAACTGTCCCCATTCCTACAAACTGATGGGATTTTGAAAGCATTTGTTGTTGTTCTCTCTCCCTCTGAAAAAGCGAAGAGCACTTGATTGTCTAGAGATTTATTGAAGCAGAGACTTCTGATATTGTACAAATGACCAAGAGCACAATCTCATGCTTGTTTCAGATGCACCTCCATCTCTTGAGGCAGCAATCTGAGTCTGCACACAGGGCATGTTGCTGCTTATATGTCTGTATAGTCTTGTTTCTGTGTAGGGGTTAGAAGGATGCACCATATTAAAATAGGATCCATACCACAGATCTGTACAGATCTGCCTGTGCAGAGCTGAAGACAGAGACCAAACCTGGCAAAAGAACATTTGGACAGCACTAAAAATACTGCAGATACTGAATAAAACCCAAAGCTTGTATCTATAGCACTTTGCACAATCTCTTCCTACATCATCCTTGGGTAAATTCTGGAATTTATGCAAAGAAAAGTTCTAAGATTAAACACAGCACAACACAATTTAAATTTTTTATCAAATGAGAATTAAGTGGAGTAAGTTGATGACAATAAAACAATTACATACTTGACCAACATATGTCTCCCAGCACTGATCCTGTGGGTTCTGGGTGTTAAGGGAAATAGTTTGGTTAACCAGTGAGTCTGTCAGGCCTTGGGTGAGATGCTCTTCTGACATGACAATGCCATTTCTCTTAATTTGTACATTAGGAATGGTTACATTGTCATCCTTAGAAAGAGTGTTGGTTGCCAAGGAGGTGGTAGAATTACTTGCATTGTTGTTCACATCAGAGTCCTGAAATAATAAATGTCCCAAAAGCTACTTTTTAAGTGTACATAGCTGCAGATGTCTGTACCTTTTACAGCGTACTCACACACACACACAGACATTTTTTTCATATATTTCCAAGCACCAGTTAGGCAACTGTTAAACAGCTGTCAATGCACAGAGTCAGATGGAACACCAAAGGGCAGGACTTAAAGCTAATTCAGGTAGGTGGGAATATTTCAAATTGATCCAGTTATGCTTAAAAATTAATAATTAAATTAAAATTAATAATTAAAAAGACTCTATAAATAGTTGTAAATAAACATTACTCTCTAAACTTAACTTGACAATGCTATCAACCCATAATATTTTAATACATTTCAAACAAATTTTTATCTAACTTCATGTACTTCACAATAAACAGAATTCTGTCTAGGAAGTCTACTAGCTTTACACGTCAGAAAACATCAAGTTAAACTTACAGTGACACTCATACTGTCCACTTTATCCAGTAGGGCAATGATTAAACTGTAGAGGTTTCCCAGGTATAGGACAAGAACCCTGAAAAGAGAACAAAATACAGATTACCAGCACTGTTAACCATTGACTTCTCATAAGATCTCTGGTTTGGCTGTACTAAAACATGAACCAGAACACAGTTCTCCTTTCCTCCTTTTCTCTCCACATATTTTTTACACTGCATAATGCCCATACCTGGCAAGCTGGAAGCGAAGAGTGGTCCTTGGATGGTACATCTCCAGAGCTGCCACAAGTTCAAAAGCAGAGGGCGCAATCATTGTGATCAGTGACACAACTACACTGACCTGTGGAACAGAAACATGAAGTCTTTGATGCTGGTCTTCTGTGGAATCTTGGGCTGATTGAAATTCTGCTGAGCCACATGCTTTGGTGATTGCTTTTCTTGGAGGGGATGCTTTAAAGAGTTATTATTGACATTAGTAATAACAGTAGTTATGATCCAAAAATTATAGATTTGCAATACCACTCAGGAATCCTTACTGCAGTTATTGTAGCTTCCAAGTTCTACTTTATTAATTGAAATCAAAGTAGGAAATATGAAATTGTGTAGGAAATATGGTGCTAGCATCTTCCTCTGGAATGGGTGAGTGGCTTCTTCATGCCTGTTCACATTCTACTGTCACTCATTCCTCTGAATGGAAATCATCACAGAACATTCAGTATCCCCTGATAACTGAATCAGTTACTGTTATCAAAGTCAATTCCTTTCTAGTCCATCAGCCCAGTGTTTGGTCAGCTCTGTCCGAGGTGTAAAAGTAGATTTGTAAGTGACAGGAAAGCTTTGTGCTCACAAAATAGGGACCTGCTAGAACTGCCCAGCTCAGCTGCTCTAACACCTGGCTGCAGAGCTGAGGGAGCAAGCGCACCAAGGCAGATCCACTCTGCCCACTAATTCCTCATTTCTCCTGGCTCATCTCTTGCTATTTACACCTCTGTGCACACTACTGCTGCAGAAAGCCCCCAGACAGCAATCCTGCTTCTAACACAGAGATGGCATAAAGACAGAGTACCTCATTTTTTTCCCAAAGAGTCAATTCCTTCTTGGTGCGCTCCAGCCTTTGGGATCGATCCACGACAAAGTAGATGATGTAAATACTTCCAGCAAGGGACAGAAGCACAAGGATGTTTGCAATAATTCTTAAGCTTATGGTCACTGCCCTAGGAAAAAGATTTATACCAGTCTTAATGACACCTTGGTAATTTCTAACAGGTCTTGGAAGTATAAGACAAGCAGATTAGCACTGATATCTGCATTGAAACAGTACTTTGAAAAGTATCTCTTATCTCATATACATACAAGTTTTTGCTTTTCTTCTTTTCCTGCTCTTCCAATATAGCTTCCTTGAAAGAAACACAGCATTACCATTTTAATAATGTTCAGAAAAAATAATGCACATATCTTTCACAGAAATTAAAGTATACTAATAAAAAAACCATCACATCCTGGAGGTGCAAGCAGGTAAATGCCACTGTCCTCATTGATTTGTAGCACTGATAGGTGATATTAAAAACTGATGGAGATTTCTGAGAAACAAATACATAGTAATCAGATACTTGGGCATTTTCAGTCATGCATGTTCAAGGAGATACAACAAGAGGGTTACGCTTTCAGATTTTTTGGCAGGATGAGCCTTTAAAATCTGGGTGTCCCTAATATAATACATTACTGTCAAAGGTTATCCTCAGCCATTGAAATAACTCAATATCATAGCTTATTAATTTACCCTTGGCACAATTTGAAGTAATTTTTTTCCAATGAGAATGGGACTACACCAAATTTGAGAAATAAGTTACTTTTGATAAAAACACATGTGCTCTTACATTATAGATGCAAAACATCTATATTTTTAGCAGTTTTCTAATATTGAGAGACCTGTAATAAGTCATTTCATTTGTTATGGAGAGATGAAATAAACCATAGAATTATAGAATATCTCAGGTTGGACAGGACCCATAAAGACTATTGAATCTAACTTCCTGATACTCAGAGGAATACTTAAATCTAAACCATTTCACTAAAAGCATCATCCAGATGCTCCTTGGACTCCAACAGGCTTGATGCCATGGCCACTTCCCTGGGGAGCCTGATTAATAGCTGATAAAATAAAGAAGAAAGAACAATCAATTGTGCGCAGAAAGTTATAAACCAAAGAGAAAGATATAAAACTTATTATTATGTAAAAGAGCATCTTGTAAAATATGAGCTGTTGTACATGGATTCCCTGAGGCATAAAACTCTTCTTTTGCATAAAAACAACTATGCATTCTATAAATTTGTTTATTTTCCTGCCAAATCAATTTGATTCCAACACTCAATGAAATTTCATCACTAGCAGATTTGTTTCTGGTTATCTAACTTCTTGTCACACATACAGGCACATTAAATAAAACTCTCCCAAGAAAGGACACAATGGCCTTGCTGGGATGTCAGCAAATATGATGTGCCTCTAATACCACACAGATGTGATACTTGCCCTCCCCTAGGCAAATAGATATGCAAATAAATACAAAAAAACATTAGGAAGTGCAAGGGGATGAGTGGAAAAACTTACATGGCTTACAGTTTAACAAGTAAATCAACTTGAAATAATTCAAAGGTCAGTTTCTCACCCTGATGCTGTTGACTATGGCTGCAGCTTTGCTCTCTGCAGCCTCAGGGTTTCCTATCAAGTAATCCCAAGCACAGAACAGTCTCCAGCAGAAAGTGTAATTTTCATCAGAGGCACTTGCTAAACTCATTCTTGAGTTCTTTGCCATTCTGTAAAAAAATAACAGGTATTTAACTGCTTCTGGTGTGTGAAGATGGTAATGAAGGAAGTCACCGGTTTGGTTCATGGTTTTAAGATGTTTACACTTTTAGAGCTACCAAAGGTTGCAGAAATTAGCATCACTGTTGGCAGCTTTCTGAAGCACATAAAACAGGAACTTGAATTTACATCTAAAGAGCAATGACTCATTGTGAAAAAGCATTTCAATATTTACAGTCTTTACAACTGACAAATAAAGCAAATAAATCTTACTAATATGGGTTACACCTATTTCGGTTTTACAACCTCAAGGTAGGATCCAGCTGAAATACGTAATCACTACAATCACTGTTACAGGAATTAAATCTAGTTTGGCATAACTAGTGATTGTGCACAAGGTCTGTTTGTTTGCTGTACTATTTTAGCCCTCATAATATATGTTGCTGTCAAATAGAAACCCAGGGCCGTTTTACAGACCTTGGGAAAAAGAAAGAAAGCCCCTCCTACTCATGTCAGGTGAGCAAGGTGGCAGAATACTGCAAAACATAGGAAATGAAATGAAGATTAATAGCTTATGAAAGAAAGGGCATCTGAAAGGACAACATTAAAGGGGAGCTGTACAAGCTAAGAAAAGGATCACTGAGCTAAGTCAGAAGAAAAGCTGATCCTATCTAGAAATTACAGATGTGTAGATCAGTGTCAAATATACCAGTGACCCTTGGCACAAACCAGCAGGTAGATTAAAAATAAATGAAAAGGGAAGGTTTGACCTCAAAACTGAGAGCGATTGCAGACAACACTAAAAACATCCCTGGACTGCACTGTGCCAGATGAATAGGTATCCAGAAGGGAAGAAGAGAAAGCAAATCAGGAGAGGATAGAGTGACCTTGCCCCTTCTCCAAGCATTGCACATCCCTGGATTTATGGCCAGTTCAGGCAGTCGTGCTCTCTCTGCTAAGCAACTCCCACTCTTTCCCTTCCACAGCAAAGAAATTAAGCTTACATTCCAATGGGCTGCCACGTACCCACTAAAGCAATGCAAATGATATTACACCTAGGATGGCACTTTTATATTTGTATTTCAATAGATGGGAATATTAATAATGCTGAAAGCATTACACTTCAAATAGAAATTTCTGTCATAACACTATTTATAACAGAAAAGAGGGGAAAGGACTTCCACAGAGACAAAGCTTAGAGATGATCTGTGCTGCCCTTCCTTTAAAGTCTGGGAACTGGAACAGAGGGTGAGGATTACAGCAAGATAAAGGGCAGTCTAGAGTTGAACTCATTCTGCCTCCATGATAATAGCAGAGGTGAGCATGTTAATAGAACTACACAGATTAAATAAAGAGGAAGTGGAGTAAATACCATTGCTGATTGCCTGAGCACACAGGTTTATGAACAGCAATAAATAAATGGGCAGTCTTACTTTTTTAGAAGGATGATGAAGCTGTAAGCAAACACAGCCATTCCAACAAGGAAGTAGGCAAGAGGCAGACGGTATCCAGCTTTCCCAATCTTCCTGTCCCGGCCGTAATAGCCATAAAACAGAACAGAGTACTGGAGGTAGCCCTGCAAAAACCAGAGCCCATCAGTAAGAGCAGTAACCAACAATCACAACAGAACAGTGACAGCAAAATAACAAAGAGTGGTTTGAGTCTTGCCCCAAGGGACCAGATGGTGTCCAGGTCCTGAGCAGATGCAATGTGCTCCTTGGGAATGGTCTTGCTGAGCGTGCTGCCGAACGGGGCTCCGGCCAGGAGCTGCGGGAGAAAGAGGAGGTCTCAGGAGATGGGGAAAAGAGAGGGGAGGTGTCAGGAGATGGGGAAAACAGAGAAGAGGTCTCAGGAGCTGCACGAGCCCGTCTGAGCCAGGGCAGCACAGTGGAACCCATCAAGAGCTGCCCACTTGGATGGTGCTCTCAAGGTAGCGAGCACTGTGTCAGCACTGCGCCAGCTTTAAAAGCCATGCTTTCAATGTGAGCATTTCAAAATTAAATGGGGCAGTGCTTGATCTCAAAATGATAGTTCAGGATTAAATTTACTTTTCCTTAAAAATTAAAAAGTGAATGTGAATACCTTTTTTTTCTGGTTTATTTTTCATTTGTTCGAGGGATGTTTACTTTTTTATTTTGTGCAGTGAGAATAAAACCATGTGTTCAGATAACAGTATTAAAGCACAGGGTAGGTGAGGCAAAATAATATATATGAATAATTGAACCAAGTTAAACTGCCTTACTCATATGCAAGAGCTAAACAAAGTTGTGGCTGTTCAGAACTTTCAGGAAATGTTTTCTAATGGACAATAATCCAGAGTCTGGAGAGGGATGGTTTGTTTTTCTTGGTGTCATTTAAACTTCTCATTAGTGAAAATGACACTAATAGGACTTAAGTGTACTCAACACCCACTACATCTTGTAAGAATGGATTCTCTATTTTAGTAATCAGATAAAAACATATTCTCTAAAAACATTAGTACCATGTTGACAAAATACAATCTTGAACACTAATAGAAAAAGTCTGTTATCCTTTGGCAGAGAAAAACCTCTTAATACGAGAATTAATTTTAAATAATTCATTTTGCAGTGTACATTTTAAACTGATGCATGACTTAAAGTGTGGTGTTTGTTCCATTGAGAAAGGAAAGTTCAACAGTAAATGCTTCCCTGTAAATATGAACAGTGTGTTCTTACCTCTGGTAGGACTACAAATGCTCCTGTCATTATGGTAAGTACAATATTGATTCCAAACAGCCATCTCAGGAAGATGAAGTAAGAGGCAACTCCAGACCCAAAATGACCTTAAACCACAAAAAACCATTATGTGACCTGCACAGTCTATAAAAGCTTCAATCATTTATCCATGAAGTGGTTGAATAACAGGCAAAAAGAAAAACCTTTCTTATGGAGGGCATTCAGCAAACTAGAGAATTTTTTCATTTTCAGAATCCCAAAAGGACAAAATTGACTTTTTCAAAAGTTACCCCCCAACTAAGACCATAATTGAGAACTGTGCAGTTTCTGAGGCATCAGGAAAAGATTAAAAACCAAAATTTTAAATAAAGATTTCACTGCTGAAAATATTCATTTAACTCCCTCCCAAATATTTAATTCAATATACATTAAAAAGATACATCAGAAGACTCATCATTTTAGCAAGTGTTTTACTAATAGCATGAACTCTTTATACTTACTCTCGATTTTCTTTATTCTCATTTCCCAAGGAATAAAGATCACCACAAAATTGTATGCAAGTCGAATGAACTTCTTCCAAAGCTGAGAAAAAAGCAGAGAAATATGACACTTCTTCACATGAAAAAAAAAAAAAATAAAAATGAAGCGCTGAGTATTTTGCTCATGTCTTTATCAAAAGAATTGCTCCAAACATTGATGACTAAGGTCTTATTAGGAGCATAATGCCTCAAAGAAAATTCTCTTAGAGAAAAAATATGCTTTTTTATTCAACAGCAGCAAATTTAACTACTTTATTCTCAGCTCTACGTTGTGCAGCCAACATCTGCAGAAATCCTGTGGTTATATTTTGTAGTCTTTATTCAACCTCTATTTTTGCCTGGCCAGATGCTTTTCCTGCACACACTGTACACCTGGGGGAGAAGTAGTAAAGTCCACCTGGGCAAAAGTGAGAACAGTTTTTGAATTGTTGAGTTAGAGCTATAACTTCACAGTGTCAACAGGAAAAAAAAATTGTATTCCAGGCATTAGAAAGTATTTTTCTTACTTCTGGATATTAAAACCCCACCTATATTTTAAGGCATATTTTGCAAATATGAAAAGCTTATGTAAATACATATACGCCTAGTAGCTGCATTTTGTTCTTAGCGCGTGTTCAACCACTGAATTCCTAATTTTGATGATGTATCGCTTGTTTTGCTGTGATACAGTTTTTGTCTCCTTGGTCACCAGGTTATTCTGTAAGAAAATATGTGGGGGAAAAAAATCTCTTCCAGTTAAAACAAAAAAAAAAAAAAAACCAACCCAAAAAAACCCAAAAAACCCACACCAAAAAAAGGCAGCTCATTCTGTTGATGTTGCTGAATTTAGCCCTAATGTAAATTCTATACCCCTAATTTGTGATAGGATAAAAGAATGCAAATCCCCTACACATAATGCTGGTACTAATTAACTGCTGAAAGTCTTCAAGAAAATACAACAGAAGCAATTGGATTAGACATAAACTTTTATTCACTGGGAACTATAATTTAAAAGCCTTTTGTGTTTGTATAGGAAGAATTATATGAGCAAGCATCGAGCCCAATCTCTGATTTACTGATATTCTGATTTAGCACTTTCTTCCTAGCTAAAGTCCTAGTTCCACTCATATCAAAGGCAAAAAATAGTGTTTATTTTACCAGCATTTTCACTTCGCTGCATTTGCCACACATGCAATGGCAGAAAAAAGAAGACTTACTCTTTTGGAAAGTGCTCTGAGATTGGGGCCAGCATCTCAGAGCACCAGATACATGTGCAGCTCTTCAGTTGTTCATATGAATAAAATGCATGGTGTTCTATTGGCCTAACCCTGCCTTTTTGATTTAAGATAAATTATTAATTAAAAGTCTACTTGTTTTGATGACAAAAATATTCTTGACTGCTTAGATGACTAAAGAATTCTTCTCTTGGTTGCTGATTAAATACTATTTCCTGAATATTATAAATTTCCAGAAACTCAGGCCAGTGTCTGTTTTCAGTAGTGTAAATAGATTTGCTAAGATTTGATTCAAATTCTCTAAATATAATGCAAGCAAATCCTCTTCTTTAATAATGTATTTAACATAAGCTATTGTAGGATTGTCTTCCAAACTAAAAGCCAGACATATTTTTCATGCTAAGCTGTTGAACTGTGGCCCCAGTTTGTTGAAATTGCTCTTCAAAGGATACTGCATCATGTTTGTTGTTATCCCTTTCACATCACCCCCTCTAACAGGCATCAATATTTGTAGGCTGTCTGAAAAGAAAGCTTATACTGCATTAACAAAAGGATATTCATCCCTCAACACATGAAATTAGTCTGCAAAAATGTAATTACTAAAATTACAATGGAAAAGAGAAGAAGGAAAAAAACCAATAAAGAAGGTTTTAACTGTTTTTTTCTCTCTCTACAGTCGCGAGCTGAAGTATCAGGAGTGCAGAGCAAGCACTCACTTCCCTGAATCAGAACTGCAAATGCTTATTGGTGGGAACAAGAAATTTCAAAGGTTTGAGCCCAAGCAGCCTTACCTCAGCCCCAGCAGCCTGGTACCCTCTGGTTCTGGTGAGCCTCCCCTCGTACTTGAGCACGATCTCCTTGGCCTGCCTGCGTGAGAGGGGAGGTCAGTCTGCATCGCTCACATCTCTCATTCTGCACCAACAGCATCTGCCAGAGGGCTCAGATGCTCTGAAATACAGCCATGGCCTGTGCCACCATCAGCTCCTAACACAGGCAATGCTTTTTTCTCTGACTATTGAGCTTTTTACTGATACTTTAAAACCACTCAGACTTTGAGAGAATTTGGCATTCAAGAGTTTGACTGCTGGGAGAGTTTTCTGTTCCTCTAATTTATTTCTCTGTCCTTTTGTTTCAAGGTCTTTCTTTTAAATAGTAGAACCCAAGTGAGTAAAATAGCAAGATCCCCTTTACAGTCTGACAATCTCCTGTGGATACTGACACCTCTTCTGCAGGTGTGGTCCTGTGAGAGTTACATGTTCATCTGGCCATACACAGTCTGACCTCAGCAGAAGGTGAATTGGGACCACCAAGATCTGATCAAAAGGACAGGAAAGCAATAAGTCACAGACTCTAAGAGAGAAAAACCCCTTTTTGCTTCCCACAAGGACTCTTGGCTGGGTAGGGATTCCTCATGGCTGTATTGCCATCTGAGCACCATACAGGGTTTGGACAGAAAATGCCAGATCAAAAGGGAATAAAAAACCCAAGCATCACACTGATCATGAGGTGAAAGGCCTGACACAGTTTAGACAGATGGGCCTGAAGAGTTAGTCACATGCTCTTTCTTTGGAAATCTGGAATTATAATAATTGAAATCCTAAACTGTGAAACATGTTCTTAGTACACTGACCATACTTTTTAAACCTACAAGTGTCCAGTATTTACTGCATTTACAATATGTTGCCTGAAGCTATGACCAGCTTCTGTTCTCCTACCATGTAATTACCTTAAAAAGGTATTTAATCACCTTAAATACATTAATTACCTTAAAAGGTAATTAATGGTTCTCCTTTTTGGGACATAGTGGAACAATTTACCTTAAAAACATATTATGGAGCATTACCAACAGCCTTCCTTGAGACAAATTAGTAGCTGACAGTCTCTTTTAACAGTTAATAGTCAAAGCGTGATTTCTTGCTCTTTTTTTGTTCTGTGACTTTCTAAAGGGAGCCACAGAGACGCACCAATTTCCCTTACAGACTGTACACCCAGAGGCTGCCGTGTCAGATCTGCCCAGAGCATCCTCCTGGAACACTTGCCTAGCAGTTCTAAATCATTCCTGTGCTCCCTCCTGAGGCTGGGAGCACTGTCACAGTCAGTGAGCCTGAAAATCTCTGCACAGGCACCTTTACCTGAGCGCCCTCAGCTTCTGCCGCATGGGCCATGGCCGGCAGCGGATGTTGGACATGATCTCCTTCTGGTACTGGATGTTCTGAAAGATCTGCTCTGGGTCATGGCTCTCAGCCTTCTCTTCTCCAGCATCATCTTCTGAGTTGCTGGCAGGCAGCACATAACCCACGAGAGCAAAAAGGAGACAAGTTATTCTGTGGGATTCCTAGCAAAGCACTGATTTGCACAGGATTCAACTCTTGGAGCATTGTAAGAACAAGGGAACTCACACAACCTTCTTGTTTTAAAGTTGATTAATAATTTGGATGGTTTCTCCATATCCAGGACATACTTCTTTCCCTCCCCACCACTTGCTGTTCAGTCATAAATTATCCCCACTCCTGACCATGAATCCCAGCCTTTCTTATTCAAGCATTTCAGGCCATTCAGCTTTTACATCACACTAGCAAGACTGTCTGTGTATTTTTCTGGAACAAAGTGCTGTCTAAACATTTCCAGAAAGAGTAGATAACATTAATGTAGTAATCATACCCATTTTTTTATTGTTAGAATGGGGGGAGCAGGTGATTCAGTCATGGTCACCATTTAATCCTCTTCCCTGCTGAGGGGCACAGGGGTGTGGGACCCCACATACCAAGAATTACTTGTCCCTGTGAAAACATTCCTGTGCTTTGATGTGCTTTGTGCATTTCTGTGGATGATTATTAAATCACCTTTTCTGATGCTGTCACCACATTTGCTAAGCTACAGCTCTTGCTGTAGCTGTGTTGGTCTATGAAACAGCAGCAATATTCATTCTTACAGAGGCTTAGGTCTAAAAGCCTGCGCTGACTGTGTCTCCCTGAATGGCATGAAGGGATCTGAAGTACTGCAACAACCACCAGCCAGGAACTTCCCCAATTCTATGGCTATGTACTTGCTGGGAAAGTTCTCTGCAATTTTGCTGAAAAGGCAGCCTTTTAATCACTTAGAAATAAATCATAACCTAAACCATGCCATGGAATAATATTTGGGGGACATACTTCATCAGACCACTAATCTGTTAGTCTGCAGTCCTGTCCCTTCAGTCACAGGGGACATTCAAGGGAAATTTGTAATTACACAGGAGAAGAAAACGAGACTTCTTACCATATACCCTGAACTCTTTGGAGTTACTTTGCTTTATGTACAGTGTTTATATTTCAGTATGAAATATGAGTTTGACAAAATAAAGAAAAACAAAGAGGTTTGGAACACATCTTAAAATACAGAGAAGGATTTTTCTCATGCCATTTCCATGCTACCACACTGTTACTCAAACCAGGCTACCTTCCCCAGCCTGACACACACCCTGTCTGCATGGAAGTGAAAAGACAAGCTCCCACTGCTGTGCTGGACAAAGCAGCCTGTCCCTTGAGGAGAGGGGGGGTCCCTTACCTGTGGGGAGGCTCCTGGTAGGTGTAGATGCCGGTTTGCCGCTTCACCGTGCGCTGCTTCTTGCAGGACTTGGCAGCTCTGGGTGCAGGGGAGCCTGGAGCTGCTGCCATGGAGCAGGTGGGACTCTGCAGGGCTGGAGGCAGCCTGCAGCTCGCTGGGCAGGCGTCTCAGCAGCAGCCAAATGTTATTAAGCAGAGAGCAGCGAGCCCTGTGGAGCAGAGGATCACTGCCCGCTGCTCCAGCCTGGAGAAGCTGCTGCTGCCTGGCACTGCCTTAAAGCCACAGCACACTGCAGCCCCTCCACTGCCCCTCCAAGGCCAGATCAAGGTGGGAAGCAGAGCTCAAAGGAGATCCAGCCTAATGCACAGCCAGGTTTGCCTTGTTGTGGATGAGGGACGTCCCTCATCACACCACTGCACTGGCTCTGGGTGGTGTTTCCAACAAACCCTCTGTAGGTGCTGTTGGTGTTCCTGCTTCCTGTGCTTGACACAAGGTTCTTGCTCAGGAAAAGCAAGATGGTGTTTTGGCCTTTAGCAACAGAGAAACATGCAATGTCATCGCCCCACAGGGCTTCCAGTTTTAGTGAAGGAGAGTCCCCTGACACCCTTTCTATAGTCAGCACCAACACAACCTCTCTGTCAGCATCTCTGTGGTGCTGGCCTTGTTTTCCAGGATAGAATAAACTTCTCCAGGTTCTGCTGGGCCCAGGAAAGTGAGTTTTTAGAGCTTTTCTCCATCACAGAAGTTACAGATATTCTGGTGCCATTATTAAAACATAGCAAAACAGATAAAAAATACAATATATTAATAGTTCCTGCAGCCATAATTTGATGCTCAGAAAGTGGGAGTGAAAGGAATAGTTTGAAGAGAGTTTTTACTTGTTCCTAACTTGGTATTTTCTCTCCTTAATAGCTCTGCACACAGTGCAGCAACAATTTTGATTGCATAAATCAATGGTCTGTTGTAGCTAACTTTCCCTTGCAGCGTCCGACAAAAAGAACATTTAGTTCTTGCTTCTAAATTTCCTGTAGAGAATAGCACAGACTGCTTTTTCTCTCCATCCTGAATTAATCTAAAATACTGCCCCTTGGTGAAAAGTTTTACTTTTTTACTGTCTATTGTCCTAGACTTATTCAGTTAAATAACCAAAGGGCTAAGTGGTCACAAGCCTTATCTTTTCTTACAGAATTGAAAGAGTAAATTAATTTGGTGTAATTTACTGAATTTCTGAGATGACCAGATAAATATGATTCTGCATTTCCAAAATGTATATCTCACAATAAAGCCTAGAATTTTCTTGCTGGGTGAAGCTTCCCTAGTAATCTGTGTGTTGCATTAGCATAAAGCAGAATGGTAAAGAAATGCCCCTATTCAGAGTTCAGCTGTATTCTGCATTACAGAATGTGTCATATGCATGACTATTAAAGCCTAACAAAACCTACTTACTGTGTGGGGCTTTTTCTGTGAACTGAACTCCCCAGTCCCAGCTTCAGTCTGAGCATTTCTTGCACCCACCTCCTTTAGCCCCAGTAGAGACTGAAGCCTCTGGACTCCAGTTTACAGCTCACCATGGATGGATCACAGAAAAATTTACTTTTTATTTTTACTGTATTTGTTTTTTAAGTCTGTTAAACAAAGGCTGTTAGAACTTTGACATCTCAGTCTTTCTGCACCATTCCTAAATCCACAAACCTCTGAATGGCTTTCCTATTTGGCTTCCAGTTCACATGATGGAGAAAATATCCCATCACCCTCTCTCTATCAGACCATTCATCAAGTGAAAGCAAACAGCCAAAAGGAATAGATATCAGCCCAGAAGCACATCTCCATTAAAAGTCTTATCATCTCTTCCTAGCTGGAAAAACAAAAGAGCTATTCTGGTTGCCAGGAACACCCTTTAGAGCTTTGATGCTCACAGAACTGCAAACACACCCACATCACCACTTTTTTTGACATGCCACAAGATGTATTTTCAGTTATATAATTTAAAAGCAGGAATACGTGAGCTCAAATGTCCTTCCTTGGCTGAAGTTATTTTTCTTTGCATCTCAGCCAGTGGCATAGCACTGGGGGTAGGTTCTGCTGCCTCAGCTCATGAGGATGAGTGCCCCTCTAACACAGTCCATCAGCTCCCTGCTTATTCCAGCTTTGTGTATAAATGTATCTCATGTTGCAGATAAACACTCACCCAAAAGACAGGTTTTGACACAGTAATGCCTGAATTTCCCTGAAGACATAAGCTAGATCTCCAAAATCTGCTGGAGAGAAACACAGATATCTCTCCTTCTGTACTACCATTCCTGCCTCATTGTTTTCCCTCAGACTTTGGATGTCCTACTTTTCATCTAAAGGAACCACAGTGGAGAGATTAACATCATTTATAGTTTCTAGAGATGACTATTTCACAAATAAAGCAGTATCCTTCAATGCCATGGTGTTACAGCCCTACCAAACCCATTAAAACACTAACATTACTGATTTACATGGATTTAATTGGCTAGTGCATGTTAATGTGTCAACAAGGCAGAAAAATTTTGTTCCCCTTTGTTAGAAGAAAGCTGAGAGTCTAAAAAAAAAAAAACAAAGGGACAATTTAAGGCTGACATTTATACAGCTCTAACAGTGCCAGTGCTGGAGGCACATACATCATGAGAAGTTACTACCAAACACTAAAAGCACAATGAGCAGCAAGAGACTTATGAATTTCAAGCCCATCTGACAGAAAGATGCAGGGAAAATGGAAAGCAGGCTTCAAGGGCTCATCCCTGAAGTTGGCAATATCCTCTGTTGTCCATGATCCCTGCAAGAGCCTCTAAAGAATTCAAGTGTTAACTCAGATCACAAAGAGGGTTTTGGTTTTGCTTTTCGACTCAGCCAGCAGTTCAGCAACCAGAACACCCAGCTGCCCATTCCAATCTGCTCTATTGAATCCAGAAACCTGCTTGGGTTTGTTTTAGTCTGAGGGAATACTACAGGGGTTATAGATTTGATTTCAATTGCTATTAACAGGATGTAAAACAGGACATTAGCCTTTTACTGCAAAACTTTCAGCTCTCTGTGTGTAATAGGAAGACTCACATTTGATCCACAGGATCATTTTGCATTTTCAAACACTTACCCAGGAAGGAGCTGGGCTGGTGAACTCTGCTTACTGACAATTCAAGGAAACAGTAGGCTTTATTCTTTCCCATATGCTCTATTCCCACAGAGGTAGAGTTTACATTTTACCCATCATTCCAGCACTGCAGTTCAACTCAGGACCTTTTCAAAATCTCCCTGCTTGGGAGATTCAGAACATTGCTGACCTGAATTTCAAGGTTAAAAATTAAGAAAGGGACAAGTTTTCCAGTCATCTTTGTAAGAAAAAGAGAATATTATCCCTCCATATCCTTAAGTACGGAAAACCAAGGTGGGGAAAAAGCATTTGGAAACACTAACCAAGACATCTTGTGTATTTTTAAGTGAAGTAATTATCAGTAGTGCTGACAACTTTCACTGACCCCAGTGATAGGCAGTGGTGCTGCAGAGCATCCACGTTTGTGAGAAAACATTGAAGCTCCTCCTAGTAGAGGACCTTGACTTGTAGAGCTGAAAGAACTAAGATCAAAAGTTAGACTTGACATAGACTTCAAAGGCAGACATTTAATTCTCAATTTGCAATCTCAGTTCACCTGTTTAGTCCCCAGATATGCAGCTGGACATAAGAGCAGTTATGGGATTTCCAGGGTAACAGTGCCAAAGCAATAGTTTTCACTTACTGGGAATAAAATTGATCTACTGAGCTCTGGTAAATCATTCTCTCCTGCTAAGATTGTTTGGACAGCCTAATTTCATATGGTAGGTTCTGCTCTTCAATTTCAGCATGTTCATAACTCTTGCTGACATTTATCACACTTGGATCAAGGGGAATGCTCCCATCGTAGTTCAATTTTCTTTGTGAATTCACATCCCACATTAAAAAAAAAATCCATTTTAAAAAGCTCCTTCTGTGCAGTTAACTGATCTTACAGCATCATGAGATGATTAGTTTTATTCTGGGATGAGTTTCATGACTATTAAAATACATATTTCTCTGACATACAACTCAAAAGAAAATATATTGAAATCAGGAAATTTTCAGGAGTGTTTTAGAGACCAGTGCTAAGACAGAGGGTAAGGAAGAAAACCAAGGGAAAAAAGGGGCTGAAGACAAATGGAAACATCCCCATGCCAAGCCAAACACCCATGGAGGGGCAGAACAGGCATTAAAGCTTTTACAGCCAGCTCAGCTGATGCCTTGGCTTGCAGCCCTGCTTGGTTCACTGTCCCTGGGACTTGCAGCTCTCAACTTTCAGGTGGCAAAAGAGCAATTGTACACCATCAGAAAACTGATTTTTCAAGAATAATATATAATCTGCAGCTTCTTCTGCTATGAGGAAATCAGTATTTTCTTTGCTTAATGATGAAATGAGTATTTTCTTTGCCAGCAGTCTGATGTGCATCCCACAGACGTGTGCATTTCACCAGAGACCTTTTTGAAAGCCCTGTAACCAAATTATTTTCCAGACTTACGTGAGTCGTTACAAGCCAGACCTAGGAGTCAGTGAAAATGAAGAAGATAATTTTAGATTATTTAATAAATAGATAAAAAAAAAGAAGAAATTTCTCATTTTAGAAGAGGAAAAATATTCCAGGAACTGACAATGGCAGAAACTAACTGAATACCCAGGACTTTACAGAGTGGTGATATTTGGGACAACCTTGCTAGTCAAAAGCCTGGAAGAGGTGGGATGTATCTGGAGCAGACATCCATAAAAACCTATTTTTGGTTTCCTTGGGTTTTGTGACATCCATTCAATTTCCCAGGCTTAAAATCCCACCCTAATTTTAAAGGGTTTGGCATTGGAATAGTAAGATTAGTTCACTTACATTTATTGGCTAACATCTTTACAAAGGAGATGTTCATAAAAAATGGACAAGGAAATTCAGATGAGCTTAATTCACTGCATAAGGAATGTAAGTAATCCTATTAAAAACCCAGGAGATTGTTTAGGTACACAATGCTTAACTCATTAGCAAACAATAATCATCATTTGTCCAAGAAAAAAACCACAAATGCAGCTCCTCAAATTACTGTCTGCAAAGAGATCAGTTTATTCCTCTTGCCCTCCAGGATATTGCATCAACACTGTGCTTGGGAAAGCTGGGGGTACCAGGCTGTGGATACAGGATCACCTGAATGCAGCACCTAACACATTAGTTAAAAAAAAAAACAACAGATCTAGAAATTGATCAAGAAACTATGAGGGAAAAACTCTGAAAGGGTATAAAAACAAAAAGAAAAGATTTGGAGACCTCAAAATATTACACTCCTGTAGAAAATGACTTTAAATATTCTTCACAGAAAGACAGTGTGGTATAAATACTGCAATAACTCAATGCAACAAAATTAGTAATTTCTTCTTATCCTACCCTAAAGACATGCCTCTAAAGCTAAAAAAAAGGATGTTCAGACTGATGTTTATTAAAAGTAGGCAAAATGTTATTAATTTTATGCAGTCTCAGAAGCACTGTGCTGCCTGAGCTTACTGAATATCAGATGACCTTGAAAGTGCCTGAGTCATGGGCAGTTCAAGCTGCAGCCTAAACAACCATCCTAAATCTTATACATCGTCACCTACTCATTATCTGGGCTTTGTACTTTCCTACCACTGGGGGATTTTCACATAAATTATACAGGAAATGAAGCAAAATGCAATTACATTCTCCAACAGCTCCAAGGCAGATAGATAGCAAAGGCATGCAGCACAGTTCAAGAGTCAGCTTTCAACAAATGTCACCTATTAGGAGGAATCTAAATGAAACATATATCACTAAGCCTCCCACTTCTGAATTATATCATTATCTCATCACTAGGACAAGCAGTTATAAGGTTACAGCAATTTCAAATAATCAGCTTTCAAACAGATTTCTCAAAGGGACTTTTCATCTTTGCTTTTACACATCACGATTTAGACTTTCACATATACTAGAAAATTCTATTCTATTATATTATATTAAATTGAGTTATCCCAATGAAAACATCTCTAGTAAGGTTAACCCAGACACTCAATAATCCATTAGCACCCTTGGTTTTTCAATATAACAAGTTTTCTCATAATGGCTTTTCAGTCTCAAAAGGAAAAGACACAGCTATGGAACTTCTGAGTGTTCTGGATTGATGGGATTCAGCTGAACAGTGGGAACACTGCAATGATGAATAAAATCACATTTTTTCCCCTGCCTTCAGTGGATGGTAAGTAGGGCCAACAGCCTTTGCATTAATCGAGGTCCCAGGAGACCACATGGAACACTCACATCTTCAAGGGATGATCCCTTCTTGACCCACTTTTTAAAGTGAGGATCTTGGACTTTTTTGTGGTTTGCATTTGGGGTCTTTTATGGGTGCTACCCTCAGTGCAAAAGCAATAAAAAAAACACAAAATGCAGTTTACAAACATTGGGTAAACACTAACAATATCCTGATACATATGTTTCAAACAGTCCTTTCTTCCCAGGATCTCACCATGCAAATACCTTTATCTGCTGCTGAATTAATTATCACTGAGCTTATGGACATCAAATGTTTGAGGCCAAAAGTTACAAGAAAAGCCTCAAATCATAAAGCAGTGAAGAGACTTTCTTAGTTACTGCAGTGATCTCTCTCCTGCCAGCACACATTAAACACACACTGGTTTTTTGGAAGTTCATCTATGGTGTTCACTGGTCTCATGGTACATTTTATTTCCTCTGTAGGCGGAATGTTTTGAGAAAGCTCTTTAATAGCCAGCAAGGGCTTTGCTAAATTAACCCATCTAAGATTTGAGATGTGCTGTGAAGATGCATATGAGCAGCCTCTAAGGCTCAGCTCAAGCAAAACAATTTAAATCTTAATAAGAAAATTATGACTCACCACCTATCATTAATATTTAACTTTTTATTATGATTAAACAACAAACTAAGTCTGATTTCTTTTTTTTTCACTTCCCTTTCTTGTATTTCCTGCTCATGGTATAATCATTAAGTTCTCATTACAGTGTTTAATTTTCACACTTTTAGACAACACCATATATTCTTCTCAAGGTTTTAACATGTGCAGTTCTTCACTATTTAAAAATATTTCTAAGTAGACACCTATATGCAGAAAACATATCAAAAGAATTGAATAAATTTGTTTAGGTTTAATTAAATGGGTGCAATCTCTTTGCAACTTGTAAATCATCTTAGCTGTAACTAATCCTGATTTGTTTAATTGGGTAAGTGGTTTAAATGCTTAAAGGACTAAACTAAACTAGCTCCAAAATAGGAAGCTATTTAATTCAGCCTGTGCAAACCTTTATATTTGTATTGTATTTCAAAGCACATAAAGGTGAACAAAAATAAACTACTGAAAATATTGGTTTATGGTTTAATTAGTCCTTTTATGATGTGTACTTGTTTTCAAATAGATAACATGTCTATCAATAGGAAAGAAAAAGTTATGGAAGTGGTGACATCTGAGAAAAAAAACACAAAAAGAACATGAGTGAAAGTTTTTATAAAAATTCTTACTTTTCATGAATAAAAGGATTTTCCTTTGAGGCTCCGTTTCTATTATCACACAATGAATCTTCTGCCATCACAAACACAGATGTTCCCTTAACTCTGCACAAATGCCAAAAGCTTTGTCTTAATATGCACTCTGGGAGGGCTTCTATGTTAAGGAGGATATATTAGAAATTTATTAAGTAAAGTTCCTGCATCTCTGCTGGTCCTTAGCCTGTCCCTTCTGTGTGGTCTAAGTCGAGCACTGCCCAAGGTGAGCCTGCAGGAAAGCAAAGCAAATCATGAGCTTTGCAGGGGGAACAGGGTGAGGACAGCACCCTGCCCCTGTCTATACCATAAATGTGTTTGTGGGAAGAATTGGATGCACCCAGGGGTGATCAGTGGGATGAGAACCCCTTCACCTGCAGAAGGACACAAATGAACCCCTGAATGTGGCAGGAGGATAAGATGCTGCAGTCCTGGATTTGCTGCCTGAATTAAACACCCTGGTAATTAATTTCTCCATTAGATGCTGCTTCCAGACCTGGGAGGGGGAAAAGCCATCCCCACCCTTATTGCACGTATGAACATAAATCACCGCAAAGATCAGATCGGTGCTTCCAGGAGAACTTTCAGCACCTGCAACATCCCTCTCTGCTGGAGGCTCCTGGCAGGCAGCAGCGTTTGGGTTTTCCCTGCAGAGATCCGAACGCTCCACCGTGTGGCCAAGCTGCTCCCTCTGCACGGCTGCCTTGGGAATGGTGCTGTCTGCGTTGGGAATGGTGCTTTGCCTCCAAGAAAATTTACTCTGACTCTAGGGAAAGAAGCAAAACATCGAAAAGAAGGTGTTTTCAGCTAAAAAAAATACCCCTCAAATAAATTCTCCAGATACAGTCACACGTATCTGGTTTAATTGCAGAGCATTGGATGCCCATAGATAAACCCGAGAGCACTAAAGTCACAGGGAACTGATGTAAAAGTTAAATCTCCACTCAAAGTCCATATCAGAATTTAAAAATCAAAGACCATTCTTTTCATTTGCTAATAGGGTGTGAGCAACTAGGAAAAAAAAAATCTTCCTATATATTATGCAAAATGCTTTCATTATTCTCCTTCTCCCTGAGATATATAAACTGCACCACTTTTTCACTTAGGGTTGAGGGATTTTTCTTTACTTTTTAATATAAGAAGCATTAAGAATAGAATATTTCTCACTTGAACTTTTTTGCTCAATTCTTTAGTGAACTTTTTAAGCACTACTTCTTCCATATAGCATAAATATTCAGTGTCACATTAAGTGCTTAATATCCACAGGTGACTAAGAAACTAAATATTATTATTAACATTTATCAACAAAGCAATCAAAAAGAAGGGATATTTAGACTCCCATTTAGAGAAATAACATCTTGTGCTGAAATGTGAAGTTCTTGTAAATAATTAGATGGTTTTGATACTAAAGGGAGGCATTTGATTCTAATGAGTAATGTTTCCCAGAAATGTGACTCCATTGTCTAATTTTCATAAAACTAATCTCTATTTCTCATAATGATGAATAATAAAATCAATATATTCGAAGTGTCAGAACATAAAACAAGCTTGGAGTGCAGAACACGTGATTTGTCAGATTCGTGGTCCTTTTTGTAGAAGGTAAATGAAACGGTTGAAACAGCATTGATATTTCAACCGCCAGAGCCTACTTCTGAAAATTACTTTCTCAAACCATTAGTATAATCCACTGTTTACTTATTGTGAAAAGTCTCCTTGAAATAAAATCGAGGGGTGGTGCATTCAATACTGAGTGCTCTGCTGCTCCTGCACACACAAACCAGACAAATTCCGTAAAACATCAGTTTTAAGTACCAAGTCCAGACATTTAAGTGTTCTGTTTAAATACAAGGAGCTAATCTGATTTTCTTGTAGCCTGATTTGAAATTTGCAACATAATCTAAAATAAAGAAACCAAATCAATGAGATTAGGAACCTGTACTTTGAGGAAAAAAACCCAACAGAATAAATCCATAGATATGCACAGACACAAAACAATTGGAATCTGAGATGAATGTAGCTAAACAACATTCTCTCATTTGAGATGACATACACTGATTTCCTGGAACATTTAACATCAATGTGATTTGCTGCTGATCAATTAGAAACCAAGAATACCTGGAGAGGAAAGGTTCAAGTCACTGGATCATAAATCTCAGTTTTAGAAGGTGAAAAGTCTCAAGCACCCATTCCTGAAGGTCACATCCTCCCTGTGGCCAGGGCAGCACCTTGCAAGAAATTCCATAGTGGAAAGAAAAATGAAGGCATGAAAGCAAAGCCTAAAACATTTGTCCCCTGAAGAGGGAAAGTGTCTGCAAAAAACTTGATAGAAGTGGGAAATGCAGCAGGGCAACTACAGGAAGGACTGAGGGGAACAGGTTTCATCAGTTTCACATTTCAGGTTTCACCAGTGCTGGAACCCAGGATGCTCTGAGTCACACCACATCCAAACCAGCCTGAAAGGGATTCTTCTGAAACACTGCTGGGATAAACAGATGTTGTTTATCAGATCTCAGAATGTGTCAAAGATCATTTAGCAACGAGTTTCACTGGTTGTTTGTGGACCATGTGTGTTTCAGCAAATAACATGAGCAACACATAAAGAGAAATTATCAGGTTAGGAAAATTCTTGAGAGATTTCTAGGAACAGAAGTTATAGGGGGAACTTTGAGATGTCTGAACATTTTCTTTTAGTAATAAACATTTTTGAGAACCCCCATATCAATTGTAGCCACATCAATAATTACTACACCTCTGGAAATTACACTTCTATTTCGCTCTCATATCTCATCACACATATCAGATCTGGTAGACAACTGCTTAATCAATTTTTGGTGATTTTTACACAAACATAGGTGGTTTGGCTGTATAATCCTTTTCATGCATCTGTGGGGGATACTAGTCTCTGAGCATTTAAATGAGTGCTACTATAAAATGCAATTTCCTGATCAAACTGCAAGAAAAGAATTTTTTTAAAATAATTTTCTGTGCTTCAATTGAAGCACAGCTGAGAGAAAAACTTCAGTGGGGGACTAAGGCCAGAGAATTGAGAAGGCAACAAAGGCTTCAGCTTCTGCAGCTACTCAGCTCTTCACAAAGCCTTTTGCCATGACCTCCCATACATTTAGAACACAGCCACTTGTCACCAAGAAATCATTTCCAGTCTGCCCACCAGGCCAAGGAAACAAGGTTATTCAGAACCAAACCTGAAGACTGGAATCCTCCCATTGTCAAGTGGATGGTTAAACATGGTCAGCTCACCTGGGAATGGTGGTGGTGGGCCAGCTTGCTAGGGATCTGCAGGAACTTCCCCTAAGTATTGAAAGAAATTGTATTCAGAGTGGTGAACATATTTATCCCTGGCTAGGTGAGCAGCCTGTGATACCTTTGTGTCCCAAACTGCTGGTGAATCACTGGAAGCAGCAAGGGAAGCTTCTCCTGGAATATTTAACAGCACCTGCTGGGGCTAAAGGCTGGCTGCTGGCAGTGGGATGAGCATAGTCAAAAGGCATTAATAGTCCTTAGAGGAGAATCCATGTAGTGAATTTCCTGTACCTTCATCACTTCATCCTGTCAGGACAAATCAGCCTGCTTGGTCTCTGCCTTTCTGAAAGCTGAATAAACAAAACCCTCAGGAAAACAATTGCTATTTCCAGTGAAATGAGCAGCCTTTCTTTCACTGATTTGCCAAGCAAAAAACTGCCAAGAAGATAGAGAGAGGAAGACAGTCAAACACTTATGAAAAAGGAAATACCATCCCCAAGTTGAATTTGGCTGGTTGAATTGGCAGGATTGGATCAGAAAGGGTATAATCAGAGAGAACAGAAAAACAGAATGAATCTGAGTTGACTGGAGGAGGAAACAGAAGTAGATTGTTCAGCCTTGCAGCCTATTGGTGCTGCTGTCAGACACAGCCAACCCTTCCAAGCTCCTTTGGGAAGTCGTGTGCTCTGCCAGGATACAAGAGATGGAGCTCCAGCATGAAAGGGATCTTTCCTGCTTTGCAGCCAGTGCCCCAGGCTCTGCATGCTCACTCCTGTAGTTACTCTGTGATGATGAGGGAGGGAAAAACGCCCAGGATTTGAATGCAAGTGAGAAATCAGCTACTAGTATGAGCAGTCACTACTCACTGACATCTGCTGTAGGACTCTGCCTACTGCACCCCAGAAAAAATTCATTGTGACAGGGAAGCAAAGCCTGGAGATGAGCCTGTCCCAGGCAGGCTGTGCTGCTGCCCAGCTCAGTGTGCCAGCCTTCTCTGCTGGTGACCAAGCACAGTGTCCCCACGAGATGGCTGCAGAGGCTGTGGCATCGCAGCGAGCACTCAGAGCTGCAGGGCTCAGAGTGCCTCAAATGCATGGGGCACTGCAAGAAGTCCCTCTTTCAAAAATGCAAGTCCTTGAGACATTTGTCAAAACATCATTAAAAACGATTTTTTTAAAAAGCAGAATTAATTAATTCTCCGATTGTTTAGATTTTTTTTCCCTTCCTGTTTGGCATTTTGTTCTGCTTATTTTTTGGTTATATGCTTCACACAATTCAAATAATCAGCATCAGATTATTTTTTCTTTCTGCTTTTTTAAAATCAATCTTTTTTTGGGAAGTCCTTTTGAAGCTTCTGCATCTCTGTTTTCTGCAATTAGGCTTTTTGTGTTAATTACACTGATTGCCAAACCTTCCATCTCTCCCATGCTTGGCTGCTATTCCCTGCTCACGGTGCCTGTTCACTACACCGCCCGTTCCTTCTCATTTTGGATTTTTTGGTAACTGGCCATGCCATTCCCTAGCTTGACACCAGCTGTGGGTCTTAAGCTCCAATTCAGCCGAGGAACATATGCATAACTCCAAACACAAGCTTGAGCAGGAAAAAGCTTGGCTGGTCACCTAGCCCTGGAAACATTGCCCTGACAGGGAAGATCAACAGCACCTAAACAGCAACCTCAGCCAAGGGCTCCCACTCACTGCGAGTGTGGGCAGCTAAATCCAAGTTTTAGCATGGGTAACACAAACACTTTAGTCCAGGGACAGCTACTTGCCTTTATAATTGTAATTTTCTGAGGTCTGAAGGACACAGTGCTGATTTTAGCCCAGAAACCTCTTCTGTAATGGGTATTAAATGTCAAACAACCAGAATCCCTTTCTTAGCCTATATCTAATAACAGCCTTAGTTTGCAAAGTCCCACAATAAAACCCTACATATGATTTCTCCAAAATCCATCTCTATCCCACCCTTGGTTGAACCCTGGCTCATTGTCAGGTTTCTCTGCTGTTCAGAATAGCTACACTTGTTCAAATCCATTAATTATGCCAATGTTGGAGCAAACTTTGGCTAAACAGCAAACCAAAGCCTACCTATTTCTACCCAGCCCATCTTTAGGCATGATTACTTACAGATTTACATCCTCATTTTTACCATGAAACCATTTTTCAGACTGATTCTTCCAAAGTTTAAACAAACAATTGATGCCAGCCTCAGCCACAACCTCAGCATAGAAGCCAACATCCTATTTTATCCTTTAATTGTGCTCAACCATTAACCAATAAAAAAAAAAAAAAATACCATCACACATATATTTAGTACATTTGGGTTTTTTACATCCCTTTTTTTCTGCCCCAAGAGGGAATAAAATTATTCAGTGTCAGACTTTCATGGACCTTGCTCATCAGGAAAAAAAAAAAGCTCTGGTCTAGATTTTGACCATGAATAAACCTTCATGGCCTCATCTAAACCCAGTGCCTTAATTTTCTTTATTACAGTGTATGCAAAGCATGTGAGTCACACAGATATCCCCTCTGGATAAGGCCACAAAGGCTTTGTTCTAAGCCCAAATGTGCACATTTCCCCTTCTGAAATCAATCCACGTGGCCATTACTAGCTGTTGTTTCATGCTTGTGGATTTGAGGCTTGGCTCTTATTGGAGAGTTGATTGATTAATTTCAACATTGCAAAAGCCTCATTTAGCCAGGGGGACATTTCTGGAGCTCAATTTTCTAACTGAAAACCAACCATAAGAGTACATTAAAATTATCTAATTTTGAGCCTCTGAATCTTTTCATGAGAACTTGCTCATGAGCATCTTTCCCATTTATTGTTTAAAGATACTTTCAGTCATTGTGTCATTGAAATTAGACATGTATGTGATTTTTTCCCCCTATTTCTAATTCTAGAATCTAAAAAGGATTTTCTTGCAGCTTGCTATTTACAACCTCTAAAAAGTGTGACAATTAAGACAGAAATCCTCAAACAAGGTCCAGAACATGAGGAGGTTCTAGAACTGGGCATAAATATATAAGACAAGTGCTAAACCAGGCAAAACTGTTTATTTTAGAAAGATCTCATTACTGAAGCAGAAAGGACAGTTAATCACTTTGCTTCTGTTTCCCTGGGAAACTGTTCCATTAATGGCATTTCCCACCAAGTTAGCACTTTATTAATATTTTATTTGAAATTAAATCAAATTATGATCATTTGAAGAAAGTAATATAATTGCAATTTAATCTCTTTTCCATTTTCCCTTCCAATTTAATTCAATATGTGATAAAGAGTGTGAAAACAGAGGGGGTGGATTTTTTATATCTATACTTCTTAGTTGTGAGAAAAGAGTGGGAAGTTGTAAATATTTGTGGAAACTTTAAATCTTAAAAAACGAATATGAAAACATGGAACACTTTCATGCGCAATTCAAAATCAGCCTTTGAGGTGAAACAAAGTGTGCTGCAATATTCTCAGATTTTTAGAAGCAGTTATAATTTTTTATCCAAGCTTGGGAACAAAGGAAGCTGCAAAAGAAAGATTTATCAATAAGCACACAGATATGAAGAAATTGTAAAAGCAGTTGATGGGTAAAAATATATTTACTTCCCCTGCTCAAAAAATTACTGTTTTCTCCCTTTCACTGAGGTTCTGTAGTGGTTGTCTGGAGAGTTTAAAAACACCTGCTGAGAAATAATTTTATTTTTTATATATATAAATACACATACACATATATGCATACATATATATGTATATGTGCATACAAATTTTATATATATATATATATGTATATATATATAAAATACATAACAAGCATTTTCAATCAGTGATGAATCCTAACATTTTTAGAATATTTTACATTCTGAAGTAGGATTTCTTTTCCAAATGATGACACATGGATTTTAAATATTAGTAGGAAATTATTATTGAAATATATTATGAATATAAACATTACCTTTAAATTCATTTGTTTTAAACCATAAAATATCCTGCATGTATTTAATTTTTCTAAGTGTGACATTAATATTAATGTATCTATATATTAGATAAAATTATGGAAATAACTGGAATATTAAGATTACTATGAAATTGTATGCATTCATACCACTTACATCTGCTGTCTGAAAGGGCTGTAGCAGATATTCTGAGCAGAATAATCAAGTGCTGTAGGCTTTTGTAGTTATCTCTTTTTCCTGATATTACTGTAGTCATTACAAGTGACACAACAAACTAAGCACTGAACAAAAGACAACTCTTGGACTGAAAATAAATCTTGTCTAGTTGGAAAAAAAAATCATGCATTGTGAGAGCAATTCCTTCTCAAGACAGAAATGTAAACTGACTTCCAGACAACAGCAGTCCCAGGAATCTCAGGAGTCTTGGGGGAATGCTGGGAGGGCAGCAGTGCTGTGGGTGAGGAGGATGGGATGTCCTCTGCAGCACTCATCTCCTCTTCATCCTGTCCAAAAAAGCCACATTTGTCACCTCCACTGACAAGGACAGCTGTGCCCTAGAGGTGGTTAACTCATAGGATCCAAGAAATATCTGCAAATGAAAAAGAAATGCACTCCATCCCTTATTTGGCTAATTAAGGAGAAAACCAGACTTAGCAGTTTTGAGAAAATCCAAGACAAATTTAAGCATCTGGTATTTTCCACTCTTCTCTTCATTTGGGCTTTCTTGGCATATGAGCTGGAGTTTTGGCTGATTTCCACTACAAGCAGAGAAGAGAAGAAGTCAAGAAGTGTCCTCACTTTCCCACCATTCATCTTCACTCTTTTCCAAAAAAACAGTGATAAGGCCAGAGGAATCTCTGTGGGCATCCCAGGCATAGTGGAGCATCTGACTTCCTTCTAAAAAACTTATACTATATGTAGTTGCAATAATTTTGACATATTTTCTCCACACATCCAATTACTTGGAGACTCTTGACAGCTCTTTTGGCAACTCCTTTTCCTGCTGCCTCCTCAGCTACAAAAGGCTGTTTTTCTTGTCAACCCTAGTTGCATTTGCAAAAAAGAAAAAAAAAAAAGCCAGGAAGAGATCTCCAACAGATCAG